AAGCACAAATGTCAGGACATGTCAAAACTTCTCCAGGGCCCCAAAACCCCCTCAGACCCCATAGGGTTAAATACTTACTGGTGCAAACCACCCTTAAACCTGTAACAAAAAGGAATGAATGCATATAAATTATTTATCAATGTATTAATTTATTACAAGAACAGTGTAATTCCTAAATTAAGTTTCACATTTTGTAATTTTAACAATTGCTGTCAGTGTCTGGAATGCATCAGCTGGCATGCATTCAAGAATCCTTACCAGAAACAAAGGTACAAAATCATGCAGATTACTTGAGGGAAGTGAATGTATTCTGAAAATCCCAGCCGTAATCACTAATATCTGTAATTTTTCAAATGTAACTAACCCTTTAGATAAAACATGGCATAAGGCATGTGAATGTTTCAACAAAACTTTGGATTAAAATAAAATAGTCACAAAAAACTGCACTTGAATCAGAATCTTTGATAGCTCATGAAAGGAACATATAGTCCACCATAATGTATATGGATATATGACTGTGACCTATTAAAACTGAAAATTAAAAACAGATCTAATTTTGTTCTTTAACCTGTTTCTCTTGTTTGTACCTATTTTCTTTGTCCTTCAGTAGTTGCAGTTCCTCCTTTATTTTATTATTTTCTTCTTCCTTCTTTTTCAGCTCTGTTTGCAGTTCATTTTGGTATCTCGTAAAGAAACCATTCTCTTTGAGCCACTCCATTTCCAATTTTTTGAATATTTTATTTAACCTTTCCACCTTTTCCCCCAACTGTTCTATCTCTTTTCTCATCAATAATTTGTCTCCATTTACGTCAACATTTCTATTTCCATCGGCACCATAACTGTTTTTTGTTGTTTTATCATCCTCATTCCTGTAGTTCAGGTTTCTTTTCCCTTCCTCTCTCTCTTTCTCCTGTAACCCACCATGGTCTTTGTCGCTGTTTTCACCGATGTTCTTTTCTTGTGTCATTTTCCACTTTAAATACTCCTCCTCTGATATATCTCCTCTCTCCTCACAATCTTCCCCAGCATCACACCCATGACTCCTGCTTCTGTTTTCACTGCTGTTCTGTTGTTGTGTCATTTTCAACTTCATATTCTCTTCATTACTTTTGTCCTCTGATATACCTCCTTTCTCCTCATAATCTTCCCCAGCATCACACCCATGACTCCTGCTTCCGTTTTCACTTTCAGCAGGAGTTTTTCTTTTTTCACAGACTGCTTTTGTGTCATGCTGTTGTCGTCTTCTATCATCTATCTGTTCTTTCCCTTTTTGATACATAGTTGTTGTGTAATATTTTTCCTCATTACTCTCTACCATCTTATGGATCTTCTCCAGAAGAGAAGAAACCTGATTGTTATTCTTTTTGTCTCTATTGTTGAAGACGTGATATCTTCCACCACATAACTGAATAATTTTCTTCAAGTCTGAGTGGACTTCCTTCAGGTAGTCTTCAATGGGCTTCTCTTCCAGGTCATCCCCTTTAGTGAACAGCACAATCATGTATTTGGTGACTTCATCCCCAAACTCCTTCAGGATGTTCATGATTGTGTTTATCTCTTCGTTGGTAAATCTGCCAATGAGCAGCACTAGGAGGAACACATGTGGCCCAGGACTTGACACATGGATGCACTTGATGATTTCCTGCTTGATATCATTCTCAGATTGAGAAGAGTCACACCATCCAGGGGTGTCAATCACTTTGATCGTTGGTTTGCCCTCAATGGACATGCTGGAGTGACTCGAACAAGCTTGAGTGACTCGCTCTGAGCTGGCTGCTGTGTTAAATAATTGTTTACACAGAAGAGTGTTTCCTGAAGCGCTCTTCCCTGCTCCTTGCTTACCCAACAAAACAATTCTTAGCTCATCCATTTTAACTTTCCTTTGACAAAGAAAAGGAACAAATCCATGTGTGAGTCAAAGATTACATGCAATCTGTTGCCTAAACCAAGCAGTCTTTAAGTTAGATATTAATTAAATTGTTTAAATCAAATATAATAATATCTTTGTTGATAGGTTTTTAAAAATATCAGTGTTAAATAATGTTATCATGTTCTTTTTGGATAACATGTCATTACACTGATTATTCAAACCACTTTCAGTAAATGAATAATTATTACAGTACCTGTTTAGTCTCTGTGCTCTATTGATGCCCGTTTCTGCTGCAATGAAAGCATTTCATGACTGCCAACACATTTATACTTTTGCAGCTAGCTCTGAGTAGATGCTCCGCCTCTTTCTGTATGTCACATATTCTGAACAGGTTTATCAAGAGCCCTATCCACTGGAGCTCACGTCACTTAATAGCCGGTGTTTATGTGTTTACTGAATTCTGTTTTTGACATCCAATGTAATAAAATCTTCTGTACATTTTGGTATATTTTCCCCAAATGTTATGTATTTAGTTTATTTTCCTACTAATTGTACATTTGCATACAGATCAAATCATACTCATTTATATGAAGTTGCCAACTAATTCAGTCTTTAGGTCATTCTATAGGAAGCCCAAGCCATTCTAAAACTAAAATATATAAAATATTTTCAGGGTTGGGAAGGTTACTTTTAAAATGTATTTCACAACAGATTACAAAATACACATTAAAAAAAAATCATTTGTAACACATTTAGTTAGATTACTCAAGTTTTGTAACTTAATTTAATACTTCAAAATACTTACAAGGTATTTAACACAAAGGTTCCTCTGAAGAAATATGACATCCGCCAAACATAGGACTTGGTTTTCCTCTGCATATTATTTATAACAACATTAGTTTTCCACAATATTTCTTGAAGGAAAATGCAGATAATCTTAAAAAAAAAAAAAAAAGCTGATGTGTAAACTTTTTGAATTGATGAACAGGGTAAATTGTACATATTTTTTCTTCTGGGAAACATGCAAGTATTAGCTTCTGAAGGGCAGTACTAAATGAAAAAAAAGGTCTTTAAAGAAAATAAGAATGATGTACACATCATCCTGTTCTAAAGTTTATACCACCTACTCTTATTGCAATGTGTTTCTTTCTTGAGCATCAGTAAATATGTTCACCTTTTGTAATGAATAAGTAGAGCTTAGGATATTTTTGCAGAGTGCTAAAGTTGGAGAATCCGCAGTTGCAGTATACATTTTGCCTGTTATAGTTTACATTTAATGTCATTAATTTCATTTAAACATTTAAAGTAAACACTTCGGTGATCTAAAATACATTTCAAATGTAACTGTAATTTGACAGTTTTATTACCCATTTAGATTTCATTTTTCTTTTTTTCTGTTGTCACTTTAAGTTTATTTAAGGTTTTAGTAATTTTGTGGGTTTGTCATTTTATTTTTTTAATGTCCCTATAGTTTTTATTTTATTTATTTAATTTTTATTAATTTTGATTATACACAAATCTTTGTGTGACAACATTCGTGAAGTGGTGGAAAAAAATGTGACAATGATCTGCATGATAGAAATTTATTGATATCGCCCAAGCTTTAAATATTACTTTACAGAAGATAATGTTAAAATAAATGTGTTTAGATTCAACAAAATTTCCTTAAGTAAATAAATTTTACTTACTTCATATACAAATGGCCTATCAGACTGTGGTCAGATTTTTCATTATACTGTGTGCATTTATTCATCATACAGTATCGCTGCATGTAGACGATTTATATGACCTGGCCATTTTTATATGTAATTGAATGCCATTGTTTATTTTTTGGAGTAATCTATCCTTTTGGTCCAGTTATTTATGCAAGTATATAAGAAAGTGAATAACATATCTACATCTTTGAAACAAATAAAGGACATGTTTTGCCATGTAATATTATAAATAAACATTTCAGATCGCTCCCTGCTGTGAAATTTTAACTTAACATCCACACTGAGAGCAGCAGAGCACAGCATTTTTCGTCTAATACATCTCAGGTCTCTTCTTGGCTGACCGGCAGTGGAGAACTTTGAGGAAACGGTCAATTTTTTGTGGGAGTCCCTACGGAAACAGGAAAGCAGGAAATGGAAATTGAAAGTCGAGAGGTTTTATCCTGGCCAAGGCTGCTGATGTAAAAAGGGAGAGAGGACAAGTTGTCTAAAAATGAGCCCATCTGTAGAGAAGAAAACATGGACAGGGACAATGTATAAACCAACCCTGCCTAAAAAATATATTTCTATCCAAACATCATTCAGATTTACTTCATATTGCCCACAAACAATCAGTTAACATTTAATTCACTACTCAACTGTCTTACCTGAAACTACAAATGTGACCACAAGTGGGAGAAGTTTAATCATATTTGACACAGTATGGCAAGCACTTGATTTATAAACCGAACTATTATCATGCTAATAGTACTTAATGGAAAAGATACTAGTATCTAAAAAATAAAGTAATAGTACTTATTCATTAGCTACTAATTCTTATTCATTAGATACTAATACTTGGTTGTTAGATACTAGTACGTAAAGGGGTCATATGATGCGATTTCAACTCTCTTTGGAGTGTTAAAAGCTCTTGGTGCATAAAGAAGATCTGT